AGACTTCAGCTGTGAGGAAAGAACAATGAAAAGGTACTGACAGATACCAGCTGCTTTCTTGTTTCCATGACTTTGACCATTAAAAGCAAAATTAGGAGTAGAAATTAAAAAAGGGCACTTCCATTTTGTGGTATGGGATGTGAGCATACAGCCCTGTAATTTAGCAGGGGAACACAGTTAACAGAGCAGGAGAGTTTTTGGCTGACTTGTAGTGTCAGATTTAGCTATGACTTGCCCAGCATCACGCAGCAAGTTGTCTGTCTCCTTCTTTTATACTTGTTTGTTTCTCTGGCAAAAATCTGGAGTAGCTTCGTGCTTGAAAAGTATCTTGTGATTGTTGTGGTACTCTGCAGTGTATCTTTGATTAAGAAGGCTCGGTAGCCGTCAGTTTGTTTGGGGTTTTCTTGTTTTAATTATAATGCCTAATTCTATTCTGTATGTGTGTGGTATTTTTAATGGGTTTTCAGCTAGATCATAAAAACATAACAATGTTTAAAATATGATTGTAAAAACTTGCTAAACAAGGGTGAAAGCTGACCTACAATCTGATAGTGGGATCTGGGTCATAGTGGTGCTTCCTGTTACGTGAGCCGCTAGCAGCCATAGGTTCAAAAATGTCACTGTCAAATTACATCTTCATTGGGAGTCTTTGTGAACTGGAAAGGTCTGTCACTTAACATCAGACTTTTGTACTGAGGTAAAGAGAGGTGCAATCTTCTGTTACAGTAGTTTATGTATGGGCAGGGGAAGGGTAGGTAGACATTCTGGAATAAGATCTAGCAAAAAGGCCCAGCAGTGTACAGAAGACTGCTTGGTCTGTTAGGTTTAGGAAACTTAACGCTTGGTGGGTCAAGAGCTTGGGGCAGAGACTTAAAAAACATTCTTTATGGGAACATACGACTTCTTAAAAGGGGGTCTGTTGTTTCTGTATTTGGGAAAGAAGGAAGTTAAGGACATTAGTTTGAGACGTGGGAGATGGGGCAGAGACAGAAAACATGTTTACATTGATTGGGGGATGCAGATAGCTGATGTAAATCCATTAACATGGGATAACTTTGTCAGAGAACTACCTCAGATTTGTTTACAACTCTAGAAACAACAGGGGTAGGTGCTGTCTGTCTGCATCACTCCTGGGGAAATCATTTGCTGAAGGCAGTTGTAGGTCAGTACTGCATGCGAGTACCCTGGGATAGCTGCATGTATGTTTGTTCCTGATCCTAGTGCAGTTTATATGCAACTGATTGAAATTATGCCACAATCTGCATCCATTTGTCCAGGCCCAGAGCTTGGCTGAGTTCCCTTCCCTGACACAGTCTTCCTGTAGCCTTGCGTAAATTCCTTGCTTCTTTATGCCTCTGTTGCCCTGAATGAAATGGGGGGAATAGTACTGTTACACATCCCGAAATATAAAAATATCTGATGCTACAGTAGTGAGAGTGAGGAGAGGTTGGAACATCTAAATACTTTATGCTGCCTTTTAACTGCTTTTTCAGATTGCGTAGCTGACAGTGATCTCTTGATTTGCATTTGTAGGTGGCTGGTGGCATGTGGTTCTCAATCTTGACACAACCATTGCCATCACACAGAACTTTGCCAGCTGTACCAATTTCCCTGTGGTATGGCACAAGACAGTAAGGGGGAGGCCCAAACTCTCAAGGAAATGGTACAGGTAAGGGCTGCAGGAATTTTTTGTTCTTATATCTTATATCCACCTTCCTCCCTGTGAAAGGGATGACTGGAGTTGGGTTGACTGGAAAAAACATACCCACCTTAAGATGAGGAAAATATGCTGTCATTTTTAAACCCATGTTTTCTAAACTGTCCTGCTTTTACAGTAGCATCTTATTGCAAAGGGCACTAAGTTAAGTTGGTGGCTAAGTCTTGCTTCCTGGAAAAGTTTACAACGTATGGTTTCAGATCTAAATTAGATGATCTTGGGAGGTCCCTTTGAGCCCTACTTTTCTGTGGTTCCTACGATCTCGTCTGGCTGACTTGAGGTCAAGCAATGCGTGAACTCCAGGAGTGCAGTCTGAGAATTTTGTGAACCATATTGAAATGGCTTGCTTGAAGAGAGCTCGCTGCCTCTGCATTTTTATCTAACTCATCCTCCAAGTATTCAGAGGGCAGTTACTACTGGTGAGAGGTGTTGGCAGTCCTCCCACATGGAGAGGGTATTCTTACCAACCCTTATCTGTCGGCACAACAATGAATGTGCCTTGTTCTTTGTCCCTGTTATGACCTTGATCTCTTTGCAGAGGCTGCCAACAAGGACACAATAATGACTGTAGCTATAGACGCTGCTGTAATGGGAAGTGCTGACAACCAACTTATTTCACTTAGATTGCTAAATAGTCATCAGGTGGCAATATCTAGGTTGCTGTTAATCTGAATCCATTCAGATACCCTTTCCAGAAGTGCCAGACTAATTATGCAATGACTGATTCCTAAAGCTATCCAGTGCCCATATCTAGTATCTGGTTTTAAGGACCTGCTTCTCAGTTGTCATGGTATCCAGAAGCACAATAGCTTCTGAAGAGAAACACAATTTACTTTAATGAATAATTTGTTCTCTTAAAGAAGACTTAAGCATTTACAGCTCTTTAATGCCAATAATATTCTCAGAAAATATTTCTGGAGCCTGTCTAAATAACCCCATAGCTATAGCTTGGGTCCTGTCTCAGGAAGGTTCCACAATGCCAGATGATTCTGTCCCCCTGTTTCTACTTCAGTTGTAACTTGCAACCAGTCTGCACTGATAAAAGCACAGACATTGATTTTCATTCAGAGGTGATATTGAAATGCTAATCATGAAGTTTGGTTTTGCTTAGGATTCTAAAGCAAGAGCATCCTGAGCTGGCAGTGTTAGCTGATTCAGTTGACCTACAAGAATCTACAGGTATTGCTTCTGATAGCTCCAGTGACTCTTCCAGTTCCTCTAGCTCCAGCTCCTCGGACTCTGATTCAGAGGTAAGGATTTGCCACAGCACATAACTCTTATTCTGTGACTATATTATACTTCTCGGCAGCTTATTGGCCATGAATTGGAGTTGTAGAAGTTGCGTGCATAAAAGCCCTGAATTTTACCATTCTTTGTAAGGTGGTATCATTAATGTAAGTGAAACTTTAGGCTCCAAAGTTCAGTCCTGAACTATGAAAAACGCCCTCAGTTTCAACCTTGCGTGAAGGGTCCCCACTCCCAGTTCCAAAGTGAAGCTGTTTACTCTGATCTCTCTTCTCTGCCTGTCCTCCTGCCATGGCAGAAAGTAAATCCAAGATTTTTAAAATGGGCTAACTTGTAGGTGCGCAACATAAAACACTTTTAAAATGACTCTTCAGGAAGCGCTGGACACTTGTTCTCTGGGAATGGGTAGTCATTATGTGACCAGCTGGGCATCTAAAAATCTTAGTCTAAGTGTTTGACTGCGGGTCAGCAGTTAGCTTTGGGAATCAACCAAGGGGTCATAGTTCCTAATTTTTGATCTCTTGTCTAATTATGCTAAAATAGCACCTGTTTTCCCCTCAAGCCTCATGGCAACTGTATCAGCATAGCTGGGATCTATGTAAGTTCTGCTGTTTTAATAACCAAAGAAATGGTGGATTTCTGTGCTTTTGGCTTACCCTTCTGTTTGGTTTTTCTCCATGCTTAGTGTGATTCTGGGTCTGAGACAGAGGGGATGATGCATCGGAGGAAAAAGAGAAGAACCTGCAGCATGATGGGTAATGGTGACACAACCTCTCAAGATGATTGTGTGAGCAAAGAACGCAGCTCCTCCAGGTGACCAGGCGTTGGCAGCTGTTTCTTTTTTCCAAACAAAAGACACTGTAAGGTGAATCTGGCAGGGTTAGGTCAGGCTGACCCATCCCGATGGAGGAGAGAGGAATAGAGGAGAAGGAGACTGCCTAGAATGTGAAACAGCTTGTCACAGGTGCTGTCCCTTCTCCCCTTCCTTATCCAAATCTAATAACTCTTGGTCTTCCCCAATCTGGCAGCCAGGTTGCTCTTTTTTTAAAAAAGAAAAAAGTGCCAAGGAAAAATTTTACCTTATTTAATAAACAATTTTATAACTTCTTCCCAACCATTTATTTTAGTAGAAATGCTGTGTTTGGCAAGGGTGGCTGTGGAAATAGCATGGCAGGTTGTGGGGGGAAGGGAACAATCTGGTCACGTGCTCAGTGAGGAGCACAAGTGTGTGGTAAACCGGCCAAGGACCAGAAGGACCCAGCCTCGAACACCTGTCCAACCTGAAAGGCTTCCAACAACTGTGCAGGTAGCTTCTCCTTTTCCACTGTTGCCTGGATAACTTCAATCCTGCCCCCCCACCCAGGTTACCCTTTAAAATGGCTAATTATAACTGTCATTCCAAAGGCTTGCTAATGAGTTTTCCAAAAATAGTGCTGCCCAAGGCTAAGCTCCTAGCTGGCTGGAAGGGTGGGGTGGGAAGAAACACTTTAATTACATGGGAGTATAACTCATTTGGTGAAAACTTACTGGGAAGGAAGGTCTTTCTCCCATACTTGGCAATATGTGAACATTGCAGAGTGGCTTGGTAGTAAACCCTCCAAAGTGCTTGATTTAGAAACTACTGAATTTCTTGGGCAAAAATTACTAAGTTAAGCACACTCAGATGCTCTGTGCTGCAGGCTCCTCCCATTCATTTGTGTGTCCTCTAAGTTGTCACAGATCTCGGGGTGCTTCTGATATGTCATAGTTTCAATACTCTACTGAATGAAAGCCTAGCCAGCTGAAAGAGGCACAAGGCTTACCTGGCTGTAATATGCCTGATGCATCAGATTTCCAGGCAGTGCTCTGCACCAAATTTGTTCAGTTTACATACTACTGTCTAGCTTCCAGTAATGGAGCATTCTCATGGGAGTTGCTCATAAGCCGTGTGCATTTGAAGTAAAAATGGAAGCCAGCCTTAAATATTTTATAGTCACTGGCTACTAATTTCCCACCTGAGGTTAAGCTATCCTATTCATGATGACATCCACAATTCCAGGCCACTTGGGACCTCAGAGTGGGAAGGAGCAGCTCAGACAACCTCAGCACAGATTCTGGTTTCTTAACTTTCTCAGAAACACAAGTTGTATCGCAGAGATCCATCTTCCTGAAGGATCCAGACACTTTATGTAATCTCTTGCACTTATAGTAGGAGTACCTCGTCCAAGACCACCTCTTCCCTAGGTGCTCCTCCCACTGCTTTCCTACCTCGTGGCCAGTGTTCTGCTTGTTCTTTCTGCTGTCTCCTAGAGGGTGCTGGCAGAGCTGTTATTTGTGGTTGTGTTGAGGAGAACAGGTGGTATAAGCAGAATTGTATCTAAGATTTTTTGCCAGGCATGTTGCAGTTCCTTGAAGAAACTAACCAGCATGCTGCAGCCTTGCATCCTGATGCTCCAGGAAGTGTCTTAGTCCTGACAGGCAGTTGTACTTCTCTTGACAGGATTAGGGAATCTTGTGGAGGCCGCACTTACCCTTGAGAGATAACAAGACCCGTCTAGAGGCAGCTGCTGCTCGGAGCTCCACTGGCAGTCAGCCAGATCTGTTTCACCCATTTCAGCTCCTGTCTCCTCCTGAACTGTTTTTAAGTTCTCACTGCTCCTCTCTGAACCACACTTTTCTCTTCTGTTCCATGCTATCTGAGGTTCACCCCTTGCTAACTTGTGGGGGAGGACATTCCCCAACTCTACTGTGCAATGCTTAGTCTGCTTCTGTGCCCCCCAGATCAATGCACTAAATGATCAGAGGATAAACCCAGCTTTTGGTAAGGACGTGCCACGTGTCTGACGGCTCACAGGGTCCGCAAGGAAGTGGAAGAGATGAGCTTTTAAAGAACTGTTTCTTTTTAAAACCAGCAGGTGAACCCAGGCACCTGCCTTGCTCTGACACTGTCATATGTTTACATGTTGTCCTGCATACACTTGAGAGGGATGCAGCGCTTCTGTCCTACGTAGATATCCAGCGGATCTTGTACCAGAGCACTGGAAAGGGCGACAGCTCTACAGACCCTAAGCATAGGGGAGGACTTCAACTGTGGCAACGACTGCCCCTGAGAAGCACCTTTCTCTGTGTACACAGCACCTAAACCAGCCTGAAAGGTTTCTAAGATGTGACATCTTTAACCGGCAGCAATTCACTTATGCTTAGTAGCTCCCATAGCGAATATAACAAGATGCACTAGCACCTTGTCATGACACTGGGGCTTGAGTGAGTCAAGTGGTTTGTTGCAGGTAAAAGCCATGGAAAGGCCATGATCTGTTAACAGTTACCAAACCCCCTTAGGTCCAGGGGGATATTGATGGTGGTGTTTGTTACTGACGCATGCAGACTTTTTGATGGTGACTGTGTATGTTGGGCTTTAAGTAACAAGCAGTTACAGAACTGGGGGATGAATAAAACCAGTGCTGTTCCCCCTATCTAAGCTCTTTAAGGTTGGAAGCTGCCTACAGTAAGTGTTGCCATCTCTAGAAGCAACAGGTGAGGGGAAGAACTATTTTGTCTTAAACTTCTACAAGTACAATGGGATGCTTGGGTTTGCCCAGTTGCCATTGTATTATGTTGGGGGCAGCTCTCCTCCCCAGGGGATCTGTTGGGATTGCTGTTTACCAAGGGCCTGTGCACTAAAAGCTTTCCCGTAGCCTTGTCCTTGCCAGGGTGGAGATTTGCTGTGCCAGGGAGAAATACTCATCTATCAAGAACAACATACCCAAGCCCTGGCTGTTTGTGTTTGCTCCTTCCTGAGCCCTAGCAGATGACAAACCAGCTTTGTTTCCATCCTGCTGTTTGGAAGGGAGAGCTTGAAGAGGAAATGGACTGTTAGAGTCATGCAGCAATGTCCAGCTAGAGGCAGATTGTCATCCTTAACTGTGATTTCTGTCTGGGTTGGATTAAGTGGAAGCCTGCATGTTGGTTTTTAATGTCCATTCCTCTGTGATTTCCCCTTCCCTCTTTGGGAGACCAGGTTGCAGCATATTGTAAGAGTGAAGCCAGCTTGTCTTTGTCATTAGTACAGACCCTTGTTTCCAAACCACCTATGTGTCTGTCACTTGTCAGAGGAGCACAGAGTGGTGGCTCATTGACACATTGCTGAGCAAAATCCAAGGGTCGTGCTGGTGACAACACTACATGTTGAGCAGCCATGTGAAGGAGGTCCCTTCCTTGAGACCAGCTGATTCTATAAGGTGTCAAGACTTCCAGCACCCTTCGCCCAGATGCCAGTATTGTGCCCAGCAGATTGACCCCTGGAGTCTACCTGGTGCATCTAATCTTCATCAGATGAAGCAAGCTTCAGCTGCTGCCTCTTGAGAAACAATATGGGCATTCAGTGTGGGCAAGCTTGGTGCTAAAGGTGAGGGCAGCCTGGGTCAGCAAGGTCTCTGTGCTGTGCCTTGGGCAGCTCTGCCTGTCCACCATGCCAGGCTAGTGGTTAGTGCATGAAGAGTTGGCAGAAGCTGCAGCTAGCTGTTCCCTTTGACAGCGTGGGTACAGCTCTGCCATTATGATAATGCTAAGAGGTGGAGAAGCCAACCTGCCTCCCAGTGCCAAGGAAGCTCCACCTGTTCTAACAGTAGCATAATCTGAAGATCCAGAGGGCAGGGTGCTTACCCCTTTGTCTACAGACTGTTGAATGAAGTGAAAATAAAAGGAATCAACATGGATGTGGGGCCTTCTGTTGACTGGCCCATGCTGTGACATTTGATGCTAGCTACAGGGCAGGTGAAATCAGCAACTATAAACCAGCTTCCCTGATCCATGTATTTTCTCATCTGAAGCTCAGTGTCTCTGCTCAGGCAGCCTGTAGTAGTCTGGGAGTCAGGACTCCTGGGATCTACATTATGCTCTTCCATTGACATGTTACCCTGGCCTAGCTGTCCACCTCTGGGTTCTACCTATAAAAAGGAGAGAAGACCTACCTCACAGGGGTGTTGTGAGGCTATGTGTAGCTAATGTCTGTAAGACCCAAAGATTCTTATGCAAAAGTTGTTGAAAATGACAGGACTGTTGAAGGATCCCAGCCTATTTTAAGATAGAAACTGCTTTTCAAATGGGCACTAACTCCTGTTCCATATAGAAGGTCACTTGAAACTGCTGGATTATTATAATCCTGGTTTTACTGTTTTACATACTGTGACCAGAGAGGAGAAATTTCTCAGATCAGGCAGTGCTTTCCTATCCCAGTCTGACAGAACAGATCATATTCCAAGTCTCCTCTACCCCTGCTGCAAGCTGGAGAGACTGGTGGGTAACCATCTTATCAAGCCCCTCTCTGCAGATCCTGTTTGTTAACAGGTGCATGTTTCTTGGTGTCTGTTCTGTACACAAGGCACAGTGGGAGCTAGTGGCTCTCTGGAAGGAAGTGCTGGCTTCCCTTCCTCTCCTCTTGCCCTTCAGTAGACTAATGCCAATTTGTGTTCTGAATTACTTCAAGTCTCCTCAGCTGCTTACTAGAGACATCAGCATCTGTCATGTTCCATGTAGGTCCTTTTTCCTCCCTGTATCCTCCACCATTGTGAGGAAAGAGGTTAGACTCCAGGTGAGAGCTCCCTGTTTTCCTCGAGGGTCGGGAGGGAAATGGAGTCCACTGCTCCATTGGCCAGTCACTGCCACCCCAGCCCTGCATTAGCTGCTCTTATCCCTTCATCCAGCAGAGCTGGAATGCTCTTAATTGTTTTATTTGGATGATTGATTGTGTTTGCTTTTTATTTTAAATAAAATCAATTATTTTGCATTACCTTGTTTTGTCCCTGATCTGTATTCCCCCTCTAGACACATGGAGAAAAAAAAAAGCATGGGGTACATCTGTGTTAGCAGGCTTAGTTATGCCAGTGACCAGGGGGGAGCTCTTTTTTACTAGTAGCATATGGAAAAAGTGTGAGATCTCCAGTATTTTCTATCCCAAACACAGGACTGTTGGAGGCTATCAGTTTTGGAAATGAACAGCACAAATTTTGTTGCTGGGGCCATGAATAGAACCTTATCTAGGGCTTGTTATGAGCTTGCAGCTGGTATTGATGGCAGAGGAAGGAGCAAAGTATGTTGTAGGCAACTTGCCCTCTCCTGTGCTCATCTCTTGTTGCACACCAGGGCTCAGCTTTATCTTAGGACCTGGTGAGAGGACTCCCATCATCCAGTTTGGAGCTTGAGCTGAAACCAAGATGCCATATTCCTTCTACCATAGGCTCCTTTTGCATTTAAGATGTTCACATTTTCTGGCTCGTTAATGAATAAAGACACATTTACAAGGATATAACTTCCAGAGTGCATCGTCCTTCTACCATTCAATGGTGGGGTTTTTTCCTTATGCAAATTTAAGGCTCAAGATGTTTTTAAAAGAAATACTTATTTTTAATGAGAAGAATTATGATAAATAAGACATGCAGTGGAGAGAATGATCAGGAAAGGATCAAACTGTGTGCATGTAGACACATGCACACACTTTCTGCATTAAATTGAGTTAGTTTTTATGGAGAGCACAGGGACACTGGGACTTGTTAATGTATTTTGTATCTTTTGTGCGTGGGCTGTGAATGAAACCAAAGTTTGCGGAATGGCAGGTTCACACGCAGCACTTTTCAGCAGTCAGCCTGGAGCATCTGCAAAACCTCCAGGAATGAAAGAAAAGAGGGTCTGAAGGGTGAATGGATTTGTGGCAGCCGGCCGGACTGTTACTGGCTTACGCTTAAGCCTTGATCTGTTCTCAGTTTTGCTCCTCTTCCACACCACCCCCCAGAGGATTGATTTGGAAAAACAGGCTCTCAATTCTGTATCCGTCTTACGAGCTCTTCTTGTGCAAGAGATTTGCAATTACTCTCATTTAGCCATAAAACTGGCTGGAGCCCAGTAGCAGCAAAACTTGAACAAAATCCCTATCCCTAGCATGCTGTCTTTGGGAGAGTGAATGGCTGATGAAGTTGGAGATTTTTGCTGGCATTAAGCTGCGCGGTTTGGATATTTGCTGAGCTGTGGTAGAAGTAGTATTCATAGCCTGGCATTCTAGTTTTCAGCCTTTGAGTTTGCCAAAGGGGTGACCGTGTCTAGTTTCCCTCCCTGGGAGAACTGCCATTGCCCTATTCCATCCATCCCTGGGCAGTTTAGAATTCCTTTCATTTATCAGTGTTGACCCTCTGATGTATTTTGGAGATCTAAGAAAGGTTTGAAAAGCCAGTCCCACCAAAATTAAATAAGAATATCTACATTTTTAATAGCAAATCCAATAACAAAATACAGAAAAGAGATAAATGACTGAACAGGATAGATGAGGCATATGAAGCAAATGGTTAACATTTATAGAATGCATGTGTATAATAGGGCATAACAATCTTAACAATATTTGAAAGCAATTGTATCTTAAAACTTACAAGCCCTAAAGTCTTAACAGTCTCTAAGAGGTGTCCAAGTCTGTTAGGGAAAGGTCCTTCTTACCTAGGTTTCAAATTAAGTTTTAAAAGAATTCTTATCTTAATTTATCTGTAGATGTGTTATTCAGCAAGGACTGTAGTTCAGGGCTGAAGAGCAAAAATTCCAAGATGAACCTAGATTTTTATACTTTATGGCTTGGCCAAAAAAAAAAAAAAAAGCTTACTAAATAAGGTAAAATAATACAAAGTGTTCCTAATGAATATTCAGAGCCTCTCATCCCCGATATATGCTATATCTTGCTTAAACTTAGCCTTATTTAACTACTTAAGTGTGCTTTAAGAGATCTTAGGGAGACCTTTAACCTAGTCTTTTTCCATTCCGTATTTCTTTAATTTTCTGAAATAGCTCGCACCTTGTGATGTCCTTTAACCTGATGGTTTCCTGTGCCTCGTCTTCTCTTACCCAACCTTTAGTCAGATGAATGCAAGTAAAGTAAATACTATACTATATCTATATTAAGCAACTTAAGGCCTATTGTAGTCTACACCAGACTCTTTGGAAATGTTTCAAATCCTGCTCCAACTTGGAGCACTTTGGCATGGTATGGATGTACAGACCCTTTCCATCTGAAGCACTTCAAAATGTCTCAGCCTCTATGCTGTGCTTAAGCTGGATAGCAAGATGGCTGGAGAGCAGAGATCCCAGCATGCCTTTTGGACTTGAGGCTGAGAAACTGTCCCTGTCCACACCCCCAGCTTGTGCTGGGGGCTCATGGCCAGTGCAGGCCCACCCAGTTTCAGGGAGGACTTTTCAGTTAGGCTGTCACCCAGGGGAGCCAGAAGTGAATGCCTCCCCTCTCCTTGCCCTGCAGTCCTTGGTTAAGCAGCACCAGATGCTGTCCTTTCTGTCCTGCTCAAAGCAGATCCCGTAGCTTACCTAGGCGTACTTGGCACCTTCTTCCAGCTCATTTGCCAGCTGATGGCCAATGCCATGGCAGTGCAGAGCACCCTAACTGAGGCCCCAGCAAGGCACTTCCTTGAGATGCATTACCCTCTTCCCTGCTGACACCAATGTGCCTGAGGATGATACTACAGAGAATGGCCCTCTGGGGGGCCAGCTGTACACTGCATACTGGTACTTCTGGGCTCAGATGAGCAGTGACTGGTGGGAGCATATTGTCCTGGGGATGTGGGATGAAGAGCAGTGATGGCAGAACCTGAGGACAAGTTTCATAGAGATTGGTGCCAAGCTGGCTCTGTTGCTTCAGTAGCAAGCCACTAGGACAAGAGTGGCCATCACTGTCTGGAAGTTGGCAGTCAGTCCCCAACAAACTCTGGACTGTCACCAACCACTTTGGCATGGGCAAGTCCACAGTGGGACTGGCCATGCAGGAGGTGCCACACAATCCAGAGCGTGCTGGCACTGTGTTCCTCTACCTTGCTAGCCTGCAGGTCGTCAGGTTGCCCTCATGGGCTTTCCAAACAGCATGGAGGCCACTGGTGGTATTTATGTTGCCATCCTGTGTCCTGACCACTGCAACTCATTTCATGAACCACCAGGCCTTTTCTCCATCATGTTTCAGGGTAAGATGGAGCACCAAGCATAGCTTACACCCAGTCCAACTGGCTGCTTAGGGAAGGTCCGCAACTCAAGGGTCTTTGGAAACTCCTATCTTATGCCCCTGAGGACATGGCAGGGAGAGTATCTTTGCAGGGTTCCCAGCACTGAGGTCAAGGTAGTAACTGCCTTTCTGCTACTTGGGGACCATGTGTTCCTGCTCCTCCCCAGCTCATGAAACCTTACATGGGACACTGGCAGAAACTGCCCTGGTACCCTGGACCCTGCTGAGGCTAGTACTGGTCTAGGGCTGGGGGGCGGGAGCGCCCTGCCTCACCATGTCAGCATGCGGGTCTTGGTGATGACACTCTACCCTGGTCTTCACGCATCATCTCCAGCCTTCTTTTCTGATAACCACCTTGAGGCCAGCTGGCATCTCCTTGCTGCATCTTCTTCTCTTCTTCCTCCTCCTCCTCCATCAGGCAAGTCTGTACTGCAGTCTCTGGTTGTGGCCTTGGGACCTCCATACCTACTGCCATGGGAGCTCCGCTCTGAGCAGGTGCTGACCGTAAGATGACAGCAGGGAGACAAGCACCCTTGGTTAAACCTTTGTGATGCTAAGATAAACCAGTGAACTCCCTACATGTCTCGGCATCCCATTCCAGGAGCCTCTTCACTCTTGCTCCCAGGCCCTTAGATGGTAAGTCCCCATGCCTAGGTGCCCCGGGCGACAGGGAAGGGTGATGGGTCCCCTTACCCTCCCAAAACCTGGCCCAGGGCTTACAGGGCCACAATTACTTTCTAGTTCATGGGAGGGGCCTCTCCCTCAGTAGGTTTCTACCTGGTCTGCTCACAGCTGTTGCTTCCTAAGTGGTGGGGATGGGAAGAGGGTGGTAGCCAGCTCTCGTGGTCAGTGCCCACGCTGGGGATTCTCTCCAGTGTCTCCCCTAATTTTACAGGACACTTTCTTCTTCCGGGTCATCTCCCAGCTCAGTGTCACTGTGCACTGAAGAGTACAATGCTGAAGACAGAAGCAGTTTAGGGCAGCTGGGGGAAACCCCTCCGAAAATGATCTCCTGTTGCTGGAGGAGATGGTCCTGCCTGCCAACCTAGCCTCTTGGAGAGGTCAAGCCTGCTTTGGGGAAAGAAGAGAGCTCCCTTTCAGCAGGAGGTGCTGTCTGACAGAGCATCTGCAGTTCCAGCACCTGCCACTTAATGACTGGGAATCAGTGAAGAACACGGTTGACTCCATTGCCAAAGGAGTGCAGGGAAAGCCCCATGGTGATACACACAGGCATTTAGAGGCTCTGGGCATCGCTCCCATCATGGTTGCAAGCCATCCCTGCTGAGGCTCTTGAGTTGCCCAAGGCAGCCACTGAACCATCCACCACCCACCGGCTTGGAGCTTGTACTAGCAGACCCACAGCACTGCAATGAGAACCCTGGACCCTGCCTGCTGCCACTGCCCTGGCTGATGCTGACTCAGCCCACAACCCAGGAACTGTTCCAGGGATATTTTAAGACTTTTTTTTGCCATGCAAAAGATCTCTGCAAGGACTCCCTGCGGGACTTGGCTTTGGGCTGTGAAATGTGAACCTCACCCCATTCTCTCCCACCCGTTCCCCAACTGAGATGATTGTGATGTGGGAGGAGGAGGGTTGTGTTGCCAGGACTTCTTGCATTTGGGTGTTACAACATGCTATGTGAAATCCACCCTAGGCTCTGCGTATTCACAAAGCCTGGACCCTACTGTGAACCCCAGGGATCTCCTGCTGACAGGGGTTGGGCACAGAGGAAGGGTCATGGTCTGCTGGT